CAACTTCTGTTTACGTCAAACCATACAGAATTCCACAAACACAAAAATCGGAAATCGAAAAACAAATACGCGAGATGTTAAAACATGATATAATATGCTAGTTCCAAAAAAAGTTGATAAAAATTAAGAAAACAAAGGAAGAGTTATAGGTTACTTAATTAAAAAAATGAAGACGATAAATTCCCCTTACCAAACATTACACACATTTTAGATTCATTATCGGGATTGATTTATTTTTCTCACTTAGACTTGAGTCAGGGATATTAACAGGTAGATTTAGAGATACAAAGTCGCCTTATGCAGTATTTACTACAAACCAAGGACAATTTCAAATGCAACAGTTACCGATTTGGTTAAAATCTTAAATTAACTTTGTAGGCAAAATATAGAGAAATGAGAATTTTGCAACCAAGCTCCGTCCTCGAATCACGATGAATAAAAAATCGTCACAATTGAGAGAGGGTGGGTGGGCGGGGTCTATTTTTCCTACATTTTTCTCAATATACGAAATCTTCTTTTCCCAACAAGAAACAAAAAACACATTTAACTCTCCTGTTGTTCAAATAAAACTATATGTAACTAAAAAAAAGCCCCGATCTCAAAAATCTTGAACATGTTTTAAATTTCTTCTTGTGAAAAGAAGACTTCGTATATTAAGAAGAAAGGGCAAAATATAAGCCCCACCCACCCACTCTGTTGCAGTTGTAATGATTTTTTGTATTCGTTGTTAGACCGATCGGCGGAATTTCACTGCAAAATCCATATTTCTCTAGAAAATTTTACTCTTTTAAGAACACATTTCACTGGGTAATTTCTTGTAGAGAAATGAGGATTTTGCAACTAAGCTCCGCCCTCGGCTCACGATGAATAAAAAAATTGTCACAATTGAGAGGGGGTGGGTGGGCGGGGTCTACATTTCGTACACTTTTCTTAATATACGAAATCTTCTTTTCCCAACAAGAAACTAAAAACACATTTAACTCTCCTGTTGTTCAAATAAAACTATATGTAACTAAAAGAAGCCCCGATCTCAAAAATTTTGAACATGTTTTAAATTTCTTGTTACGAAAAGAAGACTACGTATATTAAGAAGAAAGGGCAAAATATAAGCCCCACCCACCCACCCTGTTGCAGTTGTAATGATTTTTTGTATTCGTTGTTAGACCGACCGGTGGAATTTCATTGCAAAATCCATATTTCTCTTGAAAATTTTACTCTTTTAAGAACACATTTCTCACTGGGTAATTTCTTGTAGAGAAATGAGGATTTTGCAACGAAGCTCCGCCCTCGGCTCACGATGAATAAAAATATTGTCACAATTGAGAGGGGGTGGGTGGGCGGGGTCTACATTTCGTACACTTTTCTTAATATACGAAATCTTATTTTCCCAACAAGAAACTAAAAACACATTTAACTCTCCTGTTGTTCAAATAAAACTATATGTAACTAAAAAAGCCTCGATCCCAACAATCTTGAACATGTTTTAAATTTCTTGTTGTGAAAAGAAGACTACGTATATTAAGAAGAAAGGGCAAAATATAAGCCCCACCCACCCACCCTGTTGCAGTTGTAATGATTTTTTTTATTCGTTGTCAGACCGAGCGGCGGAATTTCATTGCAAAATCCATATTTCTCTTGAAAATTTTACTCTTTTAAGAACACATTTCACTGGGTAATTTCTTGTAGAGAAATGAGGATTTTGCAACTAAGCTCCGCCTTCGGCTCACGATGAATAAAGAAATCGTCATAATTGAGAGGGGGTGGGTGGGCGGGGCCAATATTTCGTACATTTTTCTTAATATACGAAATCTTCTTTTCCTAACAAGAAACTAAAAACACATTTAACTCTCCTGTTGTTCAAATAAAACTATATGTAATAAAAAAAAGCCCCGATCTCAAAAATCTTGAACATGTTTTAAATTTCCTGTTGTGAAAAGAAGACTACGTATATTAAGAAGAAAGGGTAAAATGTAAGCCCCACCCACCCACCCTGTTGCAGTTGTAATGATTTTTTTTATTCTCAGACCGAGCGACGGAATTTCACTGCAAAATCCAGATTTCTCTAGAAAATTTTACTCTTTTAAGAGCACATTTCACTGGGTAATTTCTTGTAGAGAAATGAGGATTTTGCAACTAAGCTCCGCCCTCGGCTCACGATGAATAAAAAAAATGTTACAATTGAGAGGGGGTGGGTGGGCGGGGTCTATATTTCGTACAATTTTCTTAATATACGAAATCTTCTTTTCCTAACAAGAAACTAAAAACATTTAACTCTCCTGTTGTTCAAATAAAACTATATGTAACGAAAAAAAGACCCGATCTCAAAAATCTTGAACATGTTTTAAATTTCTTGTTGTGAAAAGAAGACTACGTATATTACGAAGAAAGGGCAAAATATAAGCCCCACCCACCCACCCTGTTGCAGTTGTAATGATTTTTTTTATTCGTTGTCAGACCGAGCGGCGGAATTTCATTGCAAAATCCGTATTTCTCTAAGAAAATTTTACTCTTTTAAGAACACATTTCACTGGGTAATTTCTTGTAGAGAAATGAGGATTTTGCAACTAAGCTCCGCCTTCGGCTCACGATGAATAAAAAAATCGTCACAATTGAGAGGGGGTGGGTGGGCGGGGCCAATATTTCGTACATTTTTCTTAATATACAACATCTTCTTTTCCCAACAAGAAACTAAAAACACAGTTAACTCTCCTGTTCAAATAAAACTATATGTAACTAAAAAAAGTCCCAATCTCAAAAATCTTGAACATGTTTTAAAGTTCTTGTTGCGAAAAGAAGACTACGTATATTAAGAAAAAAGGTCAAAATATAAGCTCCACCCACCCAACCTGTTGCAGTTGTAATGATTTTTTTTATTCGTTGTCAGACCGAGCGGCGGAATTTCATTGCAAAATTCATATTTCTCTAGAAAATTTTACTCTTTTATGAGCACATTTCACTGGGTAATTTCTTGTTGAGAAATGAGAATTTTGCAACTAAGCTCCGCCCTCGAGTGACGATGAATAAAAAAATCATCACAATTGAGATGGGGTGGGTGGGCGGGGCTTATATTTTGTACAATTTTTGTTAATATACGAATTCTTCTTTTACCAACAAGAAACTGGAAACATATTTAACTATTGTGTTGTTCACAGAAAATTTTATATAATATACCTACATTAAGAAAAAAAAAAACAAAGATTAAGCACGACCCACCCGTCTCGATCTCAACTGTGAGGAAGCGATATATTTTTCTCACTTAGATTTGACAATTTCAAATGAATAGTTTTATTATATGTGCCTGAAGTACAAGCCCAACAAATCCCGCTTCTTTAAAAAAGTATAAAATTTTATTTTGCAATTTTTGTTTTGCAGTAAAGTCTAGAAAATACACACCAGCGGCATAAAGAACACCCCCGCACACAATGTAAAATATATTTAAAACAGATAACCAACTGAAAAAATGTGCTCTCAGTAATAATAACATTCTTAACTTCGAGGATTTATGTTTATACATCGAAAGAATGTCACGTAAAAATTTGTTTAATTTTAATAACTACTCTACTCATAACAGAGGACTAAAATTATTAATTAGGCCACAATTGAACAAAACGTTTAATCCTTATTATCACATTTTCGAGAAAATGGACTCACTCGTACTCTATTCAAAACTCGGTGATTTTTTTTTGTCTAACACAACGTGTATAAGATACAAAGAGAAAAAGTTTGACTTGGGGTAATTCCACGACTTTACCACAACGACCTTAAATGTCGCTTACAAATGTCACCCATGTCAACGACATCTCCTAGTACTTGCGTTTTTCATTTTTTTAGTGTTCAAACAATAAACTTTTTTCGTAACTAATCGCGCTGCATTTTTATCTTTATGCATAATTTGGTACCTATCGCTTAAAGTAATAAACACCTAATCTAACTGGTGGCTCGTTTTGTAGTGTTTATTGTAAATTTACGACGGTGCAAGATTCCGCATTCAAACATAACACTGTTATTATGATTGATAAACGGTGCAAGGCGATATTTAGTTGTTGAGTTTTTTTAGGCAAGTTGTAAATTTTAACAAAGGCAACAATTGGTTTCAAATAATTTTGATCAGGACGCATTGTTAGGCTTCACATTTTTCACTGATTAAGCTTTGTTTGACTTGTCGCGTTATGCAAACTCCTAAAACTATAGAATTTGGTCTTCAGAAAATTTGCATGAATCTATTGAAAACCTCAAAAAATAGGCGTGTAATTGGCCCCACTTTTTTTTAAATAATACTCTTACTCAAGATATAGAGAAGAAAAGTTGCAAATGTTCGTCAATAATTCGGACGATGAAAACAGCATGGTTATTTGCAGCAAGATGGAGCCACAGCACATACTGCAGGTGTCACTTTGAATTTTTTAAAACAATTTTATACCAATCGAATAATTTCCTAAAGATGTTATTCGCTATATCCTCTAGGCTTTCCAGACTTGGCAGATTTTTTCATTGTTTAGTTTCTCGAAAGAGAAGATGTTTCAGCAGCAATTTGGTCATTTAGAAGATCGCCAAGTAGTAATTCGACGTTGAAGGTGGGTGTTATCAACAACATGGTGAACATTTTTATTATTTGTTTTGCAGAAAAGTAACTTAGATAATTATGAAAAATTTTGTTTTAATATAATTTACTCCAATTATGTGACGAATTATACAGTTGAATGACTAGCAAGTTCATAACATAGCCGGTGACGTCATTAAAAAAAAATTAAACTTTACTAGGGATCCATATTTCAGAAATTTTTTTCACCAACAAAAAATTTTCTTCGAAAATTTAAAACATCAAAATTGCTATGCCTCAAATTTTACTAGATACGATCATCCTTAAGGAAGTTACATCTTTAAACAACTCATAAGACACTCAAACCGAATTTCTAATAAGCCGCTTTTTAAAAATATTACATTGCGCATCTCAAGAAAATTCGATTCTTCGTCACTACGAAAAATACGATGTTACTTACTCCCCGCAATAGTGAGGGTACACTTCCTTGTCCCGCTTTGTGCGAATTCGGATGGCGAGAATGTAGGACTTGCGGAGGCTGGCTCTTGTTCGACGGCACTTTGACAGTGGTCGGAGTGATGCTCAACCCGCTTGGAAGACCGGTCGGCGGCAACGCAGACTGCGGTATGCTCGGAGGCAATACCGCCACGTTCTCCTTCAGCTGTTGGGATTGTTTCAATTTTTTCAACAGCACCAGCTTCATCTCCTCCGCTCGCAAATCCTCCCGCAGTCGCCTCAGGCCTCTGTCTCTGTAACCGACAAAAAAAGGCAAGGAATTAATCCAGTTTTTGACACTTGTCCTTGCAACGAAGAGATTTTTAATTACGAAGAAGCGTAGTCTGCTTACATATCCTGGACGTCCATTTGCTACCGACATGTTGTTTGTCGAAAACTGGTGATCGATTACATAGTTATGCGTGTGTCAGGTAGACGTCATTATCGCAAATGAAGGTAAATAATTGGTCTTTTTTATTGCGTATCTGGTGGAGGAACGAGAACTTTGGTCGAACCCATGAAGGTCTTTGATGTGCGCAAATTAACTACCAGCTGAAGTTTCGAAAAACTCCACATATTTGAAAAATGTGAACTATAAAGGTTAACAGTTCTTGTTGAAATTTACATCTATTCTTCATAATAAGGTCATAAATTAGAAAAGCACGTCTTCGCTGTTATTTATTATAAAGATAATTACCACAGCCGAACTAATAGATAGGGACTTTTTTTATTTAATACAAAATTTGCATATAAAGTGGTGAAAATGAATCCACTTGATTAAATGGTCCAATAATTAGCTGAAGATTAAATGTTCTAGAAAAACTTTTAATGGTTCCGCAACTTCAGAATACAAATTCATATTTTTACAAGGATATGACAGAACCTGGTCATTTATTACTGCAAATTCACAGAAATTAACTTTCCCATTAATACACATCAAAACTGACTGTCTGTTTCATAGCCGTATCACCACTGACAGAACAGCTTTAAAACACTGAATCAAAATATTTCATTATTCGGTTAAGATTTATTATACCTAGACAACATAAATCTATCTTATTGCAATATTATTCACTTCGTACTGAGTTTTAGGCAGGCCATGGGCACAACCTCATCCCTAAACTGTGTAAACACAGATAAAGCACTTTTAATTACCTAAATAAAATGCTCGTCCTTGACTCTGCGCAAGGTAAACTCGACTCCTATAAATTTTCCATATTTTTTAAATAATTAAGGAGGAACGAGACATTTATTTTTTACCAAGCACCGTATGTTATGCTCTCTTGAGCACGCTCTCGATATTTTTCATCCGATGCAAGCAAACTTTTTATTATGGACGGTTAAAACGTACTGTACATACCCAAAACAGTGTTTAAAACACAATTAGAAGCGCATTTGTGGTTAGTTCCTCAAGTGGAAAAATTCATGATGGTAGAAAGATGGACATTAACTTGTGAAATTTAGTATAAATATGAGCGGAAATAGTAATTGTTATTTTATTACCTTTAATCTTTACTGAAACTAGAAAATATTCTTCTAGAATGTAATATTGGGAAGATTTTAAATGTACTCGTATATTTTACTTTTGAAAATTTCAAGATCTTTCTTAAAAAATAATAAAATATATTTTTAAGAAAACTTATAACATAAACAAAAGATATTTCAATATGCGTCTAGGTTACCAAAATTTACTGCCGTTATATCAGTCTCATTAAATGTATGTAGTTATTATTAATTTCCCAAATAGGGTCAAAACATTAAAAAAACATCTATTCAACAAACAAGAGAACGCATAATGTTACGTATTTGTCACGAGTAATCAGCTATCTCGAGAATGATAATTGTTGCAAAGATAAAACAAATATAAACAAGATACAAACTTTCCTGTTTGCTTATCACAAATAAATATTTCAAAAAATATTAGAATTTCATTTTAAATAACTAAATTAATAAGTCATAAAAAACAAGACGACAAATCTAGAAAATATGAAGATCTCAACATGGGACATTAATACCTTACAACATATACAGGGTGTCTCAGAAATAAGTACATTAATTTTAACCAGTAACAGAACTCGTGAAACGGAACAACTTTTTTATCTAGCATTTTTTCGAAAACTCAAGTCGAATTTCGAATTTTCCCACCCATATATTCACGAGCCGTCTATGTTCACCTTAAATAATAACTCAAATAATAACAACACTACAACAATGAAGAAGGTACCCTAGCAACCGTTTTGACACTGTCAATCATTTTTATGTCAATGTTTTTATTAAACGTTGTCTCTTTAAAGTTTGTTTGGCATAGATTTCTAATTTATAGACGAAATGTGTTGAAATGGCTTTGTTTTCAAATCTGGAATGCACCGATATCGTTTTAACGTACGGTGAATCTCGGGGAAACGGCACTCGCGCCCAACGAATTTTTTCAGAAAACCTCCCAAATCGTCGTCTGCCAAATGTGCGCAGTTTTAAGAACGTTACAGCATTTTCGAGAGTACGGATCTTGTAAACCTGCACCTCAGGATCGGGGTAAGTTACGCAGTAATAGAATTGCTAATATTGAAGAGGCTGTTTTGAAGAGTGTCGAAGCTCGACCGGGCACTAGTACGTATCACTCTCTAGTGTGATGTATCGGAGAGTAGTATTTGGAAGATACTCAGAGAACAAATGTACCCCTTTCAGGACCAGAAAGTTCAGTTATTGAAACTAACAGACTTACCACGTAGGCAAAACTTTTGTAAGTGGGTTAATAGAAAAATAAACGAACAAGCAAATTTTGTATCTCTTATACCATCAACTGATGAGGTCGGTTACACGAGGGAAGGTGTTCAACACTCACATTTGGGCCGATGAAATTCCGTACGCCATTAGGGAGCAGTATTTTCAATTTCTCTCTAAATGTTTGTCACATTGACACGATTAGGAAAATACGTATCCTAGTAACTGTTTTTGACCATACATTATTAATTATAATAACTATTAGTGTCCATGGGTGACTAAGGATCCATGGGCGGGTAACCTTAATTGGGATATAACTTTAACAATTTTTAACTTGATAATTAAAAAGTTCTTGACAAAACTCTACTAAAAAAAGTTGTTGAGTTCAATGAGCTCTATAACTGATTAAAATTAATGTACTTATTTCTGAGACACCCTGTATGTATATTGCGCAATTTGTTTTTCTTGTTAAAAAGCAAATAAAATTTAAATCGGTCGTCAGTTATTAAAAACAAATTTTATAAGTTACTAATCAAGCACAGCATTCATCATGGAAGGTGTACGAACTCCACAAGGTTTTATTAACATTATACAGACATTAAACATTAAAACCAACTTATCTGATATTAAAATTGATTGCCATTATTCTTAAATGTTTAATCTATCCTACAAATCAATCGCAAGAATGATTAAAGTATCCCTTTCGAACAAAAACTGTGGAAAGCACACATCGATTCCTGTTCGACGACGAAGTTTTACACTACATCTCAAATTAAAAAAAAAACACCTCTTACTTATGACCTTATGTACTCTAAATTATGTGCTTGCTTGCAATCAAAAACATATTAGGATGGTCAAAATCACTGCAATTTATCGTTAAAAGTCATCGATTTGTTGCAAAGCGTAACTGTCATGTGCAGCAGTGCGATAGTAATAATAATTTCAAGGTGTATAGCATTCGACTGGTCCAAGTCTTGCTTAATAAAAAGATTCCAGAGTAAAATTAAACAATTTAAAAATTCCTCTTAAAAAGAATTAACATAAGGTGTGCTCCAAGGCGCAATTTTAGGGCCGCGCTATTATTATTTTTGCCAATGATTTTCTACATATCTTAGTAAACTTGTACAGAGGCTACACGTGTATTATGCGGATGATGCAAATTATCTAATAACTGGTCGAAACGCAAGAGGTTTATAGATGCTGGCAACATAACGCTTCAAAAAATAATTATCTGGTGAAATAAAAATTAACTAATTGTTACTGAGAAAAAAACAAATTACCTACATCATATTTGAACCAGACACTTGGACGAACCCTTTCAGGCAATTTTAAAGGCAAACAACATCTCTGCTAATAACTCCATCAAATTGTTAAGTGTTACATATCGATAACAAGCTCTTATTGAATTTTCAAATTTAGTAAAAGGAAATAGAGGGAGGGTGGGCGGCGATGGTATTTCCTAAGATATAATAATTCCTAATACATAATATAATAATTTTTCGTTTTTCATTCTTCGATTTTACAATTTTTCATTTGTTCAGGTTTAATTTTTCAACTTCTCAATTTCTCGACTTCCAAATTTTTCAATTTTTCGTTTCTTGAATTTTGCGATTTGAAATTTTCAATTTTGCGACTTTTCGACATTACGGTTTTTCAGTTTCTCAATTTTTAATTTTTCGATTTTTCAATTTTGCGTCTCCTCAATTTTTGTAATTCTTTGTTTCATTTTCCTGATTTTCTTCATTTCCTTTGTTTTTTCAATCTTTACTTCGATTTTATGATTTTGCATTTATTCAATTTTTGATTTTTTCAATTTTCGCTTTCACATTTTCAAATTTTTCAATGTTGCAGTTTTTGGGTTTCTGAATCATTTGATTTCCCGATTTTTTTAATTTACAATATTTCGTTTTTTCGATTTCGCACTTTTTCGATTTTTAAGTTTCTCAAATTTTTAATCCTTCCCTTTTTCCAATTTTCATATTTTTCAAAATTTTCGTCTTATACTTTTTCGTTTTTCTGTTGATTTTTTAATTTTACAATTTTGATGTTTTTCATTTTTTGTTTCAAAAATTTAAAAAATTCAAAAATGATTTTTAATTTGTTGATTTCCAATTTTTTATTTCTCGATTCTTAGAGTTTTTAACTATTCAATTTTTCGTTCTTGCAGTTTTTCAATTTTAAAATTTTTCGGTTTTTTTTTCTTTAGTTTTAATTTGTCGATTTTTCAATTTTCCAAATTCTTATTTTTTCCATTTTTCAGTTTTTCCTTCACAAAGTTCGATTTTTCAGTTTTTCGGTTTTTAATCTGCCGATTTTACAAATTTCGATTACCAATTCTTGGATTTTACAATTTTTTCGATATATGAAATTATAAATTTTATACAGTATCAGGAAAAATAATCTAAAATCTCCTTTTTTGCAATTTTTCAAAATACCAGTTTTAATAATTAGTTTTTTTTTGCTGAAAAATTGCAAATCGAAAAGTAGAAGCAACGCAAAATCGAAAACCTAAAAAATTGGAAAAAACTGGAAA